AAATCATTTCCAGTCCTCGCTTAGCCTCATCCAGAATTTTATTCATTCTAAAATTTATTTGTTTATATTCTCATATTTCAGTAGCAGCATAAATTCTTGAAAGTATTAGAGGTTATTGTTTTATGCTGCAAAACAGTCCATTCATTCCTTCACTGTACCCTTAAGAGACAAAGAAGTGCTTACAATATCGTGTGATAGGTGCTAAGATCATGTTACATACATATGCTCAGGGTGTTAAAGACATAACATTTGTCTGTCTAATCCAACCCAAAGATGGAGATGGGATCATCATGGAGAGTTACCTAGAAAAGGTCTTAAATAATAAAGAAGAAAGAGAAGTGTTCTAGTCAGGAAGGGCATGTGGAAAGACACGGTACCAAGAGACAGCATGGCATACTACACACCTGCAAGGAGTGTATTGTCAGTGTTCTCAAGTCACTTATCACTTTGCAAGAGAATGGCTGGGATCAAAGATAGAGGATAGAGACAAAACGAACAAAATAGATCCCCAGAAGCTACTGGGAGAGTGGGTTGGCCTTTAACAGGAGGAACCGAAAAACCCCATTTCCTGAGACTGGAAGAAAAATTACAGAGATGAGTATCAGTAAAGATAGCATGGTAGAGAGCAGGAAGGGATGGGAGGAGGAGCTGGAAAAGTGTGCTTCGTTGCCTCGGTGTTTTTATTTAAATGGGAGACAGATGGAAATGGACTTGACTGAATAGGGGCTCGAGGGAGTGTGCCAGATTTGGCAGTAGTGACTATGGGAATGTGAGAAAAAACTGACCATTAACAAAAAATACATATAAATGAGTGGTGCAAAGGGCCCAACCAAGGCCCAAGACTGTGAATTTATAAAAACAGTCTGGATAGTTGTATGGTTTTTCTCAAGCTTTTCTTAGCAGTCTCAGTATAGAAATGAAGCAAGCACATTTGACTCAGGTTTAGAATTTGCTATATTGAGATAAAATTATGTAATGTTAAAGGTGCTCATGTATGTCAACGATCAACCCTGGGGGAAAAATAAAGAAACCAAGAGATGGCCAAAAGGTACATAAAATATGTTCAACATCACTAATCATCAGAGAAGTACAAATCAAAACCACAATGAGGTATCATACACCTGTTAGAATGGCTGTTATCAAAAAGACAAAAAATAACAAGTATTGGCAGGAATGTGGAGAAAAAGGAACCCTGTGCACAGTTGGTGGGGATGTAAATTACTTGCAGGCACCATGGGAAACAGTATGGAGGTTTCTCAAAATAATAAAAATAGAACTATTCTACAATCCAGCAATTCCACTTCTGGGTATTTATTCAAAGAAAATGAAAACACTATTAATTGTACACATGAAATCTATATGATTTTATTAAGTAGTGTAACCTCAATAAATAAATAAAGAATTTAAAAAGAAAAAGAAAACATTAATGCAAAAAGGTAATCTGTACCCTGTGTTCATTGCAGCATTATTTACAATAGCCGGGATATGAAAACAACCTAAGTGTCCATCTGTGGTATATGTGCACATGGAATACTATTCAACCATTTAAAAAAAATAAGAAGAGTCTTGCCATTTATGACAACATGGATGGCCTTGAAGACATTATGTTAAGTGAAATAAGTCAGAGCAAGCCAAATACTGTTTAATTCTGCGTATAAGTGGAATCTAAGGGCAAAACAAGAAACCAAGCTTATAGATACAGAGAAAAATTGGTTGTTACCAGAGGGGTGAGTGTAAAGGGTCAGTTCAGTGTGTGAAAGGTGAAAAGTCAAAAGGTACAAAATTCCAGTTATGATATAAGTAAGTCATGGGGATGTGATATACAGCATGGTGACTATAGTAAATAATAGGGTGTTACAAATCTGAAAGTTGCTAAGAGTAAATCTTAAAAGTCTTCATCACAAGAAAAAAATGATTGGTAACTATGTATGGGGACAGCTGGTAACTAGACTTACTGTGGTGATTGTTTCACAGTGCAAGCAGGTATTGCATCATTATGTTGTACACCTGAAATTAATATAATGTTATGTCGACTATACCTCGATTAAAAAAAAAGGACAAGAAAGAAGCGGAAAGGGAGCCAATAGACAGGCATAGTAGGAAAGAGACGGGAGTCCTGAGGCTGTAGGGTGGGAATTACATCATGCGAGAACTGGGCGGAAAAAAGAATGATGGTCCCAGAAAGTGTGATGAGTGCATGTAAGAGTTCTGGGGAAGGCATTTCTTTCTTTCTTTCTTTTTGTGGTACATGCCCCTAGCAGGAACTGAACCCGGGACTCTCTGGTCCACAGGTCGACGCTCAACCGCTGAGCCAAACTGGCCAGGGCTGGGGTGTGACTGGAGGAGTGAAGTTAGTTGAGTAGTGATGAAATGATCAGTGTCACTGCAAATTAGAGATTCAGAAATGGCCATGGTAGATTATAGGTTTTGTGCACGGATGTTGACAATTTCGAGGTAACAAATGTAGTTGCTATGAAGTGAAACAAACATGACTAGAGGTATTAGAGGTAAGTTTGGTTTTAAATAGCAAGGTCTTGGCTGTGCAAGTGGATCTCAGGTAGGTGGAAATGATCGTTTTGAAAGGAGCTGTCATGTTGAGTGGGTGAATCATCTGCCTAATAATGTATAAATAACAAGATAGAGCATAATGTCTCATAACTACAAGAACATTGAAATGATAATGAGTATAAATGATATTTAAGATATTTGACATAACCACAATGTAATCTGAAAATGCCTTCCATTGATGAAAACTCAGTGATGTACTAAATATTACTGTCTGATGTTTATATTCATAATTAAAGGAAATGCTAAATTTCAGAAGTTAGTAAAATAAAAGTATACTTTTCTTTCCTCCATCCAAGTTCATAGGTCCTCTTCATTCTGTCATGATCCTCTGGTTAAAAAAAAAAAAAAAGTTTTGGCCCTGGCTGGTTTGGCTCAGCAGTTATAGCGTTGGCCTGCGGAGCAGAGAGTCCCAGGGTCGGTTCCCGCTAAGGGCACATGCCTCAGTTGCAGTTTGTCCCTGGCCCCGGTTGAAGTCATGTGGGTGGCAATGAGTCGATGTGTCTCTCTCACGTTGATGTTTCTCTCTCTCTTCCTCCCTTTCTCCCTCCCGCTCTATCTGAAGATAAATGCAAAAATGTCCTCTGGTGAGGATTAAAAAAAAAAAATTTTGGCCCTGGCTAGTTTGGCTCAGCGATTAGAGCATCAGCCCGAAGACCAAAGAGTCACGGTTTCAATTCCAGTCAAGGGCACGCACCTTGGTTGTGGTTCAGTCCCTGGCCCTGGTCTGGGTTGGTCTGGGTCATGTGGGAGGCAACCAATCGATGTGTCTCTCACACATCTTTCTCTCTCTCTCTCTCTCTCTCTCTCTCTCCCCTCCTTCACTCCCCCTCGCTCCCCCTCACCTCCACTCTGTCTGAAAATAAATGGAAAAATATCCCCAAGTGAGGAGTTAAAAAAACACCATTTCAGCCCTGTTGGTGTGGCTCAGTGGATTGAGGAGCGTCGTTCCATGCACTGAGAGGTCATTGGTTCAGTTGCCAGTCAGGGCACATGCCTGAGCTGCAGACTCGATCTCCAGTAAGGGGCGTGCATGAGGCAGCTATCCATCGATGTTTCTCTTTCTCTCCCTTCCTCTCTCTCTCAAAAAAAAAAAGAAATTTTGCCCTGGCCAGTGTTGCTCAGTGGTTAGAGCATAGGATCATGTACCAAAGGGTTGTAGGTTTGATCCCTGGCCCCAGGCAGGGTCACGTGGGAGGCAACCAGTCATGTGTCTCTCTCTCATCAATGTTTCTGTCTCTCTCTCTTTTTCTGTTTCTCTCTCTCTTTCCCCCTTTTCCTTCCTCCCGCCCTCCCTCTCTAAAAATCAGTGGAGAAATATTCTCGGGTGAAGATTAACAACAACAAAAACATGTTGAGGGATACTATATCCAAAAGGCACATAAACCTAATTTTAAGAAGTGATATTTGCCTGAGGAAGAGTTCATAGCTTAGGAGTGATGGTGCAGAGCTCAGAGTATCCCCACTGCCTCTGGGCCCGGTGATGACTGGAAGTGAGGGGCTGGACATGGGTGTGTGCCGCAGTGAGCAGGTTTGGCTCAAAAAGGCTGCAGGGGGGAGCAGTGTCTTCTGTGATAAAAAGCCATATTTCAGGTCAAACCAGAAAAGTCTAAGGGAAAGAAAACTGATGCTCCAGCAGAGATGTTTATAAGAGCTTGGGAGACACAGTGGAAATTCCTGAAGGGAACAGTGAACTTATGAAAAAGTGAGAAAAAAGGACAGAGTAGTAATGAAGTGTTAAAGGGTGGGCCGGAATGGGGTAAATTAGCCTCGAGGCCTAGGGTGTTTGGAGGCATGTTGAAGCAGGCTTCCTGGAGCCATCAGGTAGTAAGTGACCCATAGCTTTGGCTCAGGTTTCCAGGTAGAATCCTGCTGAAAAATTGTTTGGTGCCCCTGCTCAAGATAGGAAAACCTGCAGTCAAAATGAGACACTTGATAGCAAAGTGTAAAACAATACAGGGTGGGAGGATTGGTATCTTATAGTAAATTACTGAATGAATATTCTTCTGACTTTATTTTTTTATTACTGGTGCCAAACACACAAAACCATATTGAGGGTTGATGAGTAAAAATAAACTTTAAGAAGAAATGTCTTTTAAAAGACCAGATTTGCCATCCTGCCCAACAGGAAGGATATGGGAGTGTCTGCCAAAGTGAGGAAAATAACAAAATGAAGTTAGGTAATAAAGTAGATACGTTTTGGGGTTAATAAGACTAGATAAACTTTCAGCTTATATGACAATCTTTAATCACCTGAAATGAGTAGAAGAACTTGTTCTTTCTGGCTGGGAAACTTACACTTTAAAATAGAAATAGATGTTAATACTTCAACTTTATATGCACATACTTACCCTAATTTGCATTTTTTCCCCTTTAAATCTAACAATAAATTTGTTAATCAGCAGTCTGATTCTGTTTGTGTTTGTTTTTTCTAGGAATTAGCTCTCCGGAGCCAATTACCAACACTGGAGCAGGATGGTGGGACTCAAAATCCAGTATCTTCTCCTGGGATGTCTCAGGAATTGAGAACAATGACGACCAATAGCTCAGATCCCTTTCTGAACAGGTAGGTGAGAGTTGCTACTGGCCAGTATCTGAAAAAGATCATAGCTTTGAGATTATTTTCCTTAGTACTTGTAATAAGCTATTTGAACATCTGTGTGGGCCAGAAATCATAGTTGTAAAGGAATCTTTCCATAAATGGCAAGTACCATCACACACGATTAAAAGCCGGCTCCTGTGAGGGGAAGTGAGCTGTTCAGACTTGTGGAGGGGATATTTAATTCATAGTCACGTGTTTGCTGCTGCCTGTACTGTTGACTAACAGTGACTTAAAATTACAGACTCGTGAAGAAACATGTAAGTGCCTTTCTGTGAAAGCAAATGAACTGCATCTTAAACCTACCTAGGGCTGTATTGTGAGGATGATTGGAAGGAATCCTTACAGAGAGCTTTCCACTGCGTGTTTATAAAGCTATATAGTTCAAGGAGATAACTTGTAAAGTTGTGCCTCTTTTAAGAAATGCACTAAAATTAAAGGCAGCATTTGAGGCATAGCCAAAGGATGCATTTTAGTGAGTTAGCACTAGTCCTGGGTTTCAGGAAGATTGCAGTGTTGCTACATTTAGTTCTGTATTGAAAACTGCGAGCTGAAACAGGTCTCTAGTGTTGTCTTTGCTTAGAAAGCATTTAAAATTAAGATTAGACTACATTCTTCTAGGTTATAAAGTATTTTGGAGTTTCAGTTTAAAATATTTTTCTCTTTATTGATTTTAGAGAGAGAGATAGAAGCATTGATGAAGGAGACACATCAATTGGCTGCCTCCCACATACCCCCCACTGGGGGTTAGGCCCAGAGCCTGAGCATGTGCCCTGACCAGGAATCAAACTGGTGCCCTCTTATTGTATGGGTTGATGCTCAACCACTGAGCCACACTGGCCAGGCTGGAGTTACAGCTTTTAAAAATAAGGAACAAATACTTTCTGGTCTTTGTGCCTTTGCTTTTTTTTTTTTTAACCAATTGTAAGCAATGCAATTTTAAAATAATTTAAAGGTACTTTGGTTTAGGAAAGCTATTATGCTGCCCATTTAATTCTCACCAGTTGAGCTGAAAATTTCATGATCTTAAGAAAAGCAAAATTTACTCTTTTGACACGTACAATTTGTTTTATTGGGGTGGGGGTTATTAAGTAAGTTTAATTTCAGGGCCGGAATAGGGGGATAGGATCCAAAGCTTAGGTAGAAGAATTATGCCAAATACAGAAACAGACCTACATGAAGCACAGGAACATAATGTGCTAATTAGCTAACAAAACATTCACCTCATTTAGCAGTATTTTTGGGGGTTGGGGGGGTGAGTTGATATCTTTAAAGTATTACAGATGTTCCCCCCTTTTTTTTCATTTAGAGATATTTTATCCCCACATTGACACAAAGTTCTGGCAAAAACTGGGTGTATTTATACAAGATTATAGTTCTGAGGTTAATGAAGAAAGGTCATAACCACTGAACTTTTGTTTTTTTCAGGAGGGAAATTTCAGATCAGTATAATTCCAGTCCCCATCTACTGAAGGCCCATATTGATCCAAGGATAAAATTAGGCTATTGAGAAAAATGGATAGATTGCATATCCTTCTGATAGTCATTTGTGAAGATTCTTTATTAACAGTTTTGATTAAAGCTGGGCTGAAATTTGAGATTGCGATTTCTGGTACAGATCACAGAGTGGTAGGTCATCAGTGATAAGGGGCACAATGCTCTGTCCACTCTCTGTAGTGTCCCCATTTGTAAAACACGCATCTGACTATAACGTTTCTCTTTTCAAAAACTTATGGTGGTTTTTCCATTGCCTGATACTTGATTCATGTAGATTTCTTAATTTTTTTATTGATTTTTCTTTAGAGAGAGGTAGATGTGAGAGAGAGAGAGAGCCATCCATTGGCCACCTCCTGCACGCCCCCTAATGGGGATTGAGGCCGCAACCTAGGCATGTACCCTGATGGGGAATTGAACTGGGACCTCTCAGTTTTTTTATTGTTTGTTTTTTTTTTTTATCCTCACCCGAGGACATTTTTGCATTTATCTGCAGATAGAGTGGGAGGGAGAGATGGAGGAAGAGAGAGAGAAACATCGATGTGAGAGAGACACATCAACTGGTTGCCACTCACACGACCCCAACCAGGGCCAGGGATAAACTGCAATCAAGGTACATGCCCTTAGCGGGAACCGAACCTGGGTCTCTCTGGTCCACGGGCTGATGCTCTAACTGCTGAGCCAAACTACCAGAGCCAGGCTAGATTTTTCTTTTTTTTATCCTTACTCGAGGACATTTTTCCATTTTTTGTTCAGATAGAGCGGGAGGGAGAGAGTGAGAGAGAGAGAGAAACATCAATGTGAGAGAGAAACATCAATGTGAAAGGGACACATTGAGTGACTGCCACCCACATGACCCAACCAGGGCCAGGGACAAACTGTAACCGAGGTACGTGCCCTTAGCGGGAACCGAACCCGGTCTCTCTGGACCGCAGGCCAACGCTGTAACCACTGAGCAAAACTGGCCAGGGCCAGGCTAGATTTCTTAAGCTCTCAAACACATTTCCCTAACTTGCTATGGAATTGACGCTCAGTAGTGGTGTAGCATCCCCTTGTCTCCCTTTTACCCTGAGAGCTTCAAGGCTATCTCTGATGTCCCCCTCCACAAAACCTTCCCACTGTACTTTATAAGCTTTCTCCTCTTTGTTCTAAAAGCACATGCTCACCCTGGCTAGTTTAGCTCAGTGGTTAGAGTGTCAGCCCTTATACCAATGGGTCTTGGGTTCAATTCCTGGTCAAGGGCACATTCCTAGGTTTTAGGTTCGATTCCTAGCCCTGGTCGGGGTCATGTGGGAGGCAACATGTTTCTCTTTCTCTCCCTCTCCTTCTCCCTTCCTCCCTTTCATTCTATCTAAGAAAATTTAAAAAACATAGCTCTTGTATATGATTTATTAACGTATTTGTTAATGTCCCTCTCCGAAGTTGTGAGCCTCTCAGAAAGCATCAGTTGTAGGTGGTGGTTGTTTTTAACCTCCACCATATCCTTTGAGCCTGATCTAATGCCTGTCATAGTAACAGATGCTAGGGAATGATTATTGAATGACTAGGGGCTGCAAGCAGGGGTTTCTGTAGGGATAAGGCTCTTGTGAACTCTGTCCTCAGGCCCATGTGTCTTCCCTGTGGCTTGGAAAGAACTTTACACAACTGTGTCAATTCATCTGTCCTGTACCACAGTCTTGAGTGTCTGATGTGTGCCCTGTTGTTAGCAGTGGGAATGGAGTGATGACTAGGACCAGGCCCTTGTCCCAGATCAGGGCAGGCAAAATAAAAACAAACCACATCCTGAGACCTTCTCCTGTGCGGCTGTGTTGTATACAAATGGGAACGGAGGCGAAATTGTGTTTTCTTGGATCTGTGTGAGGCTTTTGAATCTTGCCAGAATCTGACAGAAGCATTAGACTAAACCAGTGGTTGAAATATACAGAGCAAGGGGGAGGGGAAGACAAAGCAAATGCATTGAGTAATTTAGGGAAGAAATTTGGGGGACTGAGCTTTCAACCTTGAGCAACTGTTAAAGTTCCTTTATAAAGCTTAGTTGTTTTTTGTTTTTTAACTTCTGTGTAAACTAAACAGCTGCTTAAATATCCAAGCTGTAAGGTAAGTTAAAGTTCGCATCATGGTCACAGACTCTTGAACAATTACCTTTATTTCACACTTTGCCATGACATTTTCTAGAATTAGTAGAACCCATTTTACAGCCATGCCAGCTTCTGTGTCCAGAGCTGCCAACTTAGGGAAATGTCCTGTTTATAAAAGAAATGTCCTGAGGGCATTTACCAAACTTGTATGTGAATCTGGGAAACTTCTTTTAGACTCAAGTAAAAATCCATCTTGGCTTATATTTTTCTGTTTTTCTCAAGGTCTGTGCCTTCTAGTTTTTTGTTTTTGTTTGTTTTTTAATTAATCTTTTCTTCAGTTGGAACTCTAAGGACTCCTGTCTTATGCTGAGGTATTTGGATTTTTCCCCTCTAAACAGAAGCAAGAAGATCAAGCTATGAGAGTTCTTATCTTATCGGCAGTGACTTATCTGTTCTGGCCTAGTCCAAAAAGGAATTCTGGTTCTTTATTTTGCAGTGATTTCCCCCCTTGGCTTAAACTCTCTGCATAAGAACCAGGAATTTAATGTGAGTCTAGTGCAGACCTGTCTCACCGCCCACCTAGAATTTGTGTTGTGACCTGCGCCTGTACTACCCCTCTTGGGGAACTGAAAACTTGAAACCAGTGAACTTTGTGCATCCCCCAGATTCAAAGGGGAATTACAGAGAGAGTACCTACGCAGAGAGTTTTCTGTCAGCTAAGGACACTGAGTAGATCTTTTTTATTCCCTGTAACCATCAGGCCCAGAAATTTAGGAGAGATTCTCAGCCCTTTGGAACTGCCAGCTTCAACTAAAGATGCCTCGTCTGTTTCACTGCACAGACTACGGCCTGTATGGGCCCTGGATGAGGCGCTTGTTTCCAACGTTGCAGGGCAGGAATGTTCACGAATCCTCTTGGAGAATTATGTTAGTACTCAGCAGGTGTTTATTTTTACCTTGAAGTGTTTTTTTAAAAATGTTTGCATTGGTCTTTAACTCTCTTTGTAGTGGCACCTATCACTCTCGAGATGAGAGTACGGACAGTGGACTGAGCATGAGCAGCTACAGTGTCCCTCGAACCCCTGATGACTTCTTGAACAGTGTTGATGAAATGGATACAGGTTAGTATTCTTTATTCCTCTGAGGAATCTGACTTTCAGGCAGATGTCGTCATTTTATCACTAGGTCTATTAAGCTATTGTGAGCAAAGATTGTTCAGAAGAAAGCCATTTAAATCTTACACACTTCGATTCAAATTGTGCCTTCTTCTTTGTTTCTATATGGCAGTTTGTAACAAGTCCTTTCTTGGTTTTTAAATGTTATAGAATCTTAGCTCTATTTGAACAAAACTGATGACGTGACTAATTTTAGCATTTAAAATACTGGATTAGTTGGCAAAGCAATTGAGGACCCTATTAGAATTCTCTTAATACAGAATTATATTCTTGGAGAGAGATTTCTATATGTGATTCAACGTCTGCCTCCCTCTTTTCTGTGAGGGCTTCTGGTCCAACTTCGGTGTTATGGGACTCAGAAAACCATGTGGGAAAGGCTTGGTGTGGGGCTCACCTACTTTATTGTTAGAATAGTTACAGGAGTCTTGTAGGAGCTAAGAATTACCTGCCTCACAGGGGACATTAAGGAACCATTTCTCCTATGGCTTACCTGATTGCCCTGGACTTGGCAACTCTCAGAGGGATGAACTGGCAGGGACGTGAAACAGTTCTCTAGCTAGCGGGTTCTTTAGCTGACAGCTTCTGAAAGTGTTTGGCAAGTCTATTGTGCCTGTGCTCATCCAGCTCATGGTTTTGATGCTTCCTAGGTGCTTTGTCTCTGCTTATCTAAGTCTTCAGCCATCCTGAGGAGGCATTTTAAACCCTGCTCATTCAAACACACTTTCTTACTCCTGTTTCCCATTTGTCTTTTCTCCAAACCCTGTAGCACTTACTGGTTTATATTAATTTTTTTTTAAAGCATGTTCATTGAAGCTCTAAGGAATGTTAGTGTTGTCATGTGCCCAAAAAACAGTTTTGTGACTAGGTAAATTTGGAAAACCTAGAAGCAAAGCTAGGAAGATTTATTTATTCAAGGACTTTTGGGAGGTTTGTTTTACTGTTATGAAATGTAAATCTCCAAGAGTGGAATAGAGTTTCATCCAATCCTTATATTTTAGTGTTTCCCAAAGTGTACTTAGGGAAAGATGGGACTACCCCGTTAGTTTTCTACTTTATCTCAAAGTGATGTTGCATGTCTGGGAGAGTTAAGGGCGATGCTCTTGTGCAGTTGCTTGTTCCTTCTTCCTTGCTGTAGTTTTTTCATGGAATTTTTACTTTTTTTTATGACACTCCCCCCCTGCCCCCTTTAATGCTCAGCACATAGTGATAAGAAATTAAGTTGTTGGTTTAATGTCCAGACAGATGTTGAAGCAGAAGCAATCTTGGTATTGTTATTTGTGGGTATTTGGTCTGAAATAAACTGGGCATCATTTTAGGTCAGTCAGGAGTGCTTTTCTTTATGCATTTCTGTATGCTCTCACATGCTACAGCTCTGATGGTAGCTTTTCAAAAAGAACTTTATTCTCTCTCTGTGTTCCAACTAGGTGATACTGTCAACCAAAGCACCCTGCCTTCACAGCAGAATCGTTTCCCAGACTACCTTGAAGCCATTCCTGGGACAAATGTGGACCTTGGAACACTGGAGGGAGATGGAATGAACATAGAAGGAGAGGAGTTGATGCCAAGTCTGCAGGAAGCTTTGAGTTCTGACATCCTTAATGACATGGAGTCTGTTTTGGCTGCCACCAAGCTAGATAAAGAAAGCTTCCTTACATGGTTATAGAGCCCTCAGGTAGACTGAATTTAAAATCTGTGAAGGATCTAAAGAGATAAGACACACACACCAGAAATTTCCAAATAAGCCAGTTGCAATCTTCTGGCTGATACAGAGAAAATGAACAAACGTCCAGCAAGATTCTTTCATCCACTATTTTGCTCTTCCTTGTCCATTGCTGCTGTTAATATATTGCTGACCTCTTTCATAGTTGGCCCTAAAGAATCACACACAAAAAAAACTTTTTGTTTCTTTTGCTAATATAACTACTGTTTGTTTTGGGGGCTGGGGGAAGTGAGCCTGTTTGGATGATGGATGCCATTCCTTTTGCCCAGTTAGATGTTCACCATCATTTTAACTGAGTAGTCAAACGTGGAAGTCAGATGCTTCATGTCACAGCATTTAGTTTGTTTAAGCAATTATTTCTTCAGCTTTCTTTGGCCAGTGGAAAACATGACTTACTGGTTTGACAAACCAGAAATGTTGTGTCTGATACTAAGTACTTAATGCTGGTTTGGAGAGAGAGCTGAAACCAAGGCTGAAGACTGTTTGACTTTCAGTGTTTTGTTTTGTTTTTTTCCCTCCTAGTGCTACATCATTAGTCACATAGTGACCTTGATTTTATTTTAGGGGCTTATAAGGCATGAGACAATTTCCATAGAAATATATTGATTATTGTCACATACTCTAGTATAGGTTTTGGTGGGTTTTATTGTGGGTTCGTTTTGTTTTGCTTGGTTGGGATTTTTTTTGTTTTTTTGTGTTTGTTTTTTTCCTGGAATCGAGGCAAATTACCATAGTAGTGAATCTGTTTATAAGTGTAGCTGGGATGGTTATTGTAGTTTCTTTGGTAAAATCTACATTTCCTGATTTTTTTTTTTTACCTTCTTATTTAAATCTTGATTATCTGCGCTCTCTCTCTCTATATATATACCCTGACACACTTATAATGTTTATATGATAGTGTGATAGCAGAATGTATTTTTTTTTTTAGGTTTCCCTACTTTCCAATGTATTTTAAAATGGTAGCTTTGAATGTGTGCATTTAGAATACATAGCTAATAGTTTATACTTCACAGGTAGTTCAGATCTGGTTGGGGCAGTCTACAGATGTTTGAGGAAGTTTAGTGTTCTAGAAAGGGCTGTTGTTATGGGTAATGCCTAAAGGAGTAATATTATCTGATGAATTTGAAAGAAGTAAACAAGAAATGGCTTTATTTTCCCCTTGTTACTCCCTTGGACTAATTTTAAGTCTTGATGGGAAATCACTGGGTAGGTTCATAATGTGTGACAGAAGTAAGCTGTATGTGGTCATTCACCTTCCTTTAGCTTTGGAAGTTTTACCTTCCCCTTAGTTTTGGAAGTAAATTCTAGTATTTTAGTTGTCATTTGTTAATGAGCATATTAAAGACTACATTGACATATTGCCTACAAGACTGTTCTTACTTATCAGACTTGCTCCTACTTCTGTATGCTGAGAATTGACCCTGGACAGTGTAATACTGTAAGGTCATATGTTAGCTGGTAAAGTGATCAGATTAATAAATGTATATTGGTAGTTGACTTTAGCAAAGAAATAGAGATAATCATGATTATACTTTTATTTTTACAGGAAGAGATATAACTAGAGTATGTGTCGACAGGAGTAATAATGGTTTCCAAAGAGTATTTTTTAAAGGAAAAAAAAAAGAGCATGAATCAACTCTTTAGTATAAGCTATGAAGTAATAGTTGGTTGTGAATTATAGTGGCACCAGCTGGCACCTCTGTGATTAAGGGTCTTTCAGTGTTTCTAGAGTAAGCCCTTATTTTCAAGGGTTTATAACAGGCATAAAATATCTTTTCCTGGCTGAAACTGTGATGAAAAGCCTAGGAAGATAGATTTTTTGTTTGTTTTTTCTAATTTCAAAATGTAAGTATTTTGACCCTTCATTTTAGAGGAGTACAAAAATTGGAGGTAAGAAGTTTTATATTAAGTGTTTTCAGTGCTCAAAAAATGCAATCACTGTGTTGTATATAATGATTCATAGGTCAGTCGCTCATAATTGACTGTAAGGCTTTTTATTAAGAAAACAGCAAAAAGATTAAATCTTGAAATAAGTCTGGGGGAAAATGGCCACTGTGCAGATGCATTGATTTTTTTTTTTTTTTTTTAGAGCAATAATGAAATTCTACTTAGAATGCATAATTGAGTTATATGGATGATATAGCATGTTGGGTTTTTAATGTGTAGAAAATCAAAGCTACTTGGAAGGAGTGCCTTCAGTTTGCCAGTCAGCGCAAATCATGATCATATATATCAGCAGAGTAGCTCTAGATAAGGGAGAGGGTGGGGAGGGGGGTTGTGAAGACTTAGTGGGACTTTGATAGAGAACTTTATAATCTTCTTTTTCTTCAGTAAAGACTTATCTCACATCTTGCTGTCATTAAAGGCAGTTGTTCCTCAAATTTCAATCACTTATGTACACCCACACATAAGACTATGGAGTTCTTCATTTCCCCTTGACTTTAATTTGCCCAGTTATACCTCAATGTTGTAGCAGCACTGTGGTCCCTGACAGGCACGTGCTCTGATCTTGTCATACCCTCTGGACTGACCTGAGGGAGACCTAAGAGTCCTTTCTCTTTCATAGCCTCAGTCTGGTCTTCTTGTTTCATGTCCTTCTTCCTAATGTAAAAATGTTTAACTGCTTCTTGGTTGTTTTGGGTCACATTGGGATAAGACTTTAACTGGGTATTCTTGAATTGCTTTTACAATAAATCGGTTTTTATAATCTTTAAATTTATCAGCTTTTTTACATTTGTGTTCTTTTCAGCTAGGGCTTTCTAAGATCTACTTGTGGTTGATGGAGCACGTTGATTTAGAGTTTCAGATTTTCCAAAGCACTATTTGCTATAACTATTTTCTAAATTTATAGCGTCTTTTTTCAAAAAAGAAAAAAAGAACAAAGGAAGTGACTTTTATAATCAAATAATGTTGCTGTTTTAACTGTTCATATTAAATAGATGCATTCTATATGGAACCTTGGCAGAAACACTGACAGTAAGAGTAATTAATTGTGTAATTCATAATTCATACCAATCAGTGTTGAAACTCAAACCGTGCGAAGTGGAAGCCAATATCCAGTGATTAACAACTTTATAGCTTTTGCACATCTGAGAAATGAGTGCTCAGATGAATTTTACCTTCCGCCAGCATGTTGTTATAAGAATTGTGGGTGCACCTGTCTTAACAATTGTTTTCTGTATCTTGAAAAAGTATTTTCCACATTTTAAATGTTTTATATTAGAGAATTCTTTAATGCACTCTTGTCAAATATATATATATAGTACCAATTTTACCTTTTTTGTTTTAGATGTAAGAGCATGCTCATCATATGTTAGGTACTTACATAAATTGTTACATTATTTTTTCTTATGTAATACCTTTTTGTTTATGTGGTTCAAATATATTCTTTAAACTCTTCTTTGTTGTTTTTAACAATTAATATATTTAAAACTTTTTGGCTTCTTAGTGAACTTCCAATATAACAAGTACGCATGATAAGAGAAAATAAAAGGTGGTTATAGTAGTAACTGGCACACAGGTGAAACGTAAGGTTAGTTTGTCATTTGGAACTTTAGAAGTACAGATAGAATCCTTTGAGCTTTACATTCTGTGCTCATCCTGTAGACAATCCCTGCTGGTACAGTGTGTAAGCAGAATTGGCCCCTTTATTCTTAAGTGACTTTACTACATGTAACAGCACAGAAGAAACAGAAGAACTTGACACAGTCTTTCAAAATAGTCTAGTTTTATTTCTCCAAAATACTGTCTTATGATATCTAAAACATAACACTTATATTAGTGAAAATGATTAATTATTGTTTTATAAACATTCACAAATTTAAGTAGTAGGTTCTGAATGTAGATTAAGAAGTAGATGTTATTGTCTTTGAAAATTTCTGTTTGTGTATATCTTCAATTATTGACAAACCATTTTGGTGAAGCAAATCTGAAAACTTCATATTTTGTTACGTATAATTTCTTACAGAAAAACACTAACATTGTAGAGCTTGAAATTTGTTTTCCTATCTTGTACAAAATGTAATGATTGTACATCTTAGCTCAAGACTACCCCGTCTCTGCAGGCAGTGTGCCCACCGGGTGTTGGAGGGCGTGAAGCCCAGTTACCTTTGTTCTGGGTCCTGTGAACCAGAATGGTACAACCTTTAGGGAGCGGATTCAGTCTGATTCAACAGAATACTCAGAAGACTACAGGGCTGGGCAAAACTATCAACCTACTTTTAAATTAATTAAACTGTCTATTAATTTGGATTTTAGAAGAAGATCCTTGAGAGAGAACAAGAGGGGGCATTCTAAATATTTGAGAACTATAGTAGCCTTACTTAGAGCCTGATATCGAGTAATTTCATGTTTTTCTTAGAAAGACCCAAAATAGCTCAGTAAAGGAATCTCCCAGCTGGCATAAACAAATGTTTTTTCCAGAGAGAGAGAAAAATAACTAATCACCTAGGTTGTGACTGCAGGAGTGATTAGTAGACCAGGGAGTTATGTTCAATTCCCCCTGTTTTCCATCTTGTCAGCTGAGGTTGCAGAAGAGCAACCCCAAAGACCCCATCACATTTTCTTAATTTCCGTAATGGCAATCAGACCATCCCTGGCAACCACAAATTATATTAGGTTTATAGTCAATTATATTGAAAACCTGGCTTTATTTGGTAGTTATTTGGTAGTTATGAGTAGGTTCTTGTGCTGCTGGAGTCAGACATGTTTCTGGCAGGGTATGTGCCATGTTTTCCCATTTTAAACTTGGCACTTAGTCGCTTTATTCTAATAATCATGAGAAACTTCGTGATTAAAATTTTATTTTTGAATTAGAAATTAGATGAGAATCCTGTGACATTTAGTAACTGCTGTTTTTCCTTATCGCATATGGAGTATTTTTTGCCTATTGCCTGGATACAAAGAGCTCTAATATAAGTAGAATTTATCATTTTCTAACCATAAACATGGCCTTAAACTAGCAGACTGAATATTACCACATATGAAAACAGGTGCAGAATCAAGATACTAGCAAAACAAGATGACATTGAAAAGGTAGTCTGAATTTTTAAAATCTGCCATATTTTGTTGTTCATCATCCAAGGGTATTTTTTCCATTGATTTTTTTTCAGAGTGGGGAAAAGGGAAAGAAACATAAGAATGAAAGAGACACATTGATTGGTTGCCTCCCATATGCTCCCCAACTGGGCTAGGAGTTGAACCTGCAACCCTTTGGTGTGTGGGCCAACACTCTAGCCACTGAGCCACACCAGCCAGGGTAAATCTGCCATATTTTAACAGAAAACAAAACTCCCAAGTGACGTAGTTAGACCCTGCTAGAAGTTAAAAAACAAACTGGTATCTATGTGCTATTCAAAGTAGTATTAGGAGATATATGAGCAAAGAGTCTACTTAGTCTGCTTCTTTAAAATTCCTAAACAGCTACTCTGCCTGGTTTGGCTCAGTGATTAAAGCGTTGGCCCGTGGACCAGAGAGTCCCAGGTTCGGTCCCCGCTAAGGGCATGTACCTCGGTTGCAGTTTGTCCCCGGCCCCGGTTGGGGTCATGTGAGTGACAACCAGTCGATGTGTGTCTCTCACATCAATGTTTCTCTCTCTCTCTTCCCCCCGTCTCCCTCCTGCCTATCTGAAGATAAATGCAAAAATGTCCTCAGGTGAGGATAAAAAATAATAATAAAGTAAGATTCTTAAACAGCTAATCTGGTAATTGGAATGTGTGTGTGTGTGTTTTATGTAAAGCTCTTAAAAACGAGTTATAACTTTGTAAAATTGATATGGTTTGTAAAAGAGAGTGAGTGGATAGGGCTAGAGGATAGAAGCTCCTAAGAATCCACAAAAGACAAAAATAAATAGTACTGAAACCAGGAGAATACCCTTAGTATATTTTAGACTGCTAACTTACTTGTTAGGATTATGACACACTTTTACCCATATGTCATCATGTCTTGTCTCAAGTGTATTTTAAGATGAGACTATAGTTCACATGACCTTCACAGAATCTATATAAAATAGCCTGTCAGTGAAACATCTCCATTTGGGTATAATTTTGGTGAGATGTTATAGAAAACACATCTCAGTAGGCCATTTGTTCAATTACAAATCCAGTTATTGTGTTATAGTGGATTTACAGATTAAAATGATGGTCTGTCTAGGTCATTGTAAGAGAAATTCATATTCTCAAAGCTGTGGGTTAAGGGGCAAAATCTGAGGGGAAAGCATTGTTGCATTTCAGTTCAGTACTATTCCCACGAGCTGCTGAAGGCAGCTACTTGAAGCCAACATTGTGATGAATGGACTAAGAAACTTGGCTGAAGATAATTTTTCTTTGAGAGAACCTTGTAGCAACTTGTATTTAAGTACCTCTTTCTACTGATTAAGAGCTAAGCATATCTAGAGCCAGGGTTCAACAGAAGCATCTCATTGGCTATAGGTTGGCAGGATCTAAATGACGGGTCAGAATAGCCCTGGCCGGTTTGGCTCAATGGTCAGAGCGTCGGCCTGCGGTCTGGAGAGACCCGGGTTCAGTTCGCGCTAAGGGCACGTACCTCGGTTGCAGTTTGTTCCCGGCCCTGGTTGGGTTATGTGAGTGGCAACCACTCGATGTGTCCCTTTCACGTCGATGTTTCTCTCTCTCTCTCCCACTCTATCTGAACAAAATATCAAAAAATGTCCTCGGGTGAGGATAAATAAGTAAATAAATAAATGATAGGTCAGAATATCAAAACTAGGACTCATCTCTGGGGTGATCATGAACCAAGACCTTAGACTGTGAGGTAGACAAAAAATCACATATACGAGCAGCCAAACCATGAGTAGCATAAAATCACACTGTAAAACCACTTGTACAGTATCATCTGAAGAAGGCTATTTGCTGAAGTGTTCTCTGAGCACCAGAAGGTCTCTTGATCCCTATAAAATAATCTCAATGGGACTGGCGAGAGGAGAATGTGGATTTGAGATTTAGCTGTCTTTTACAATCCAAACCATAAACAACAATGTAGTTCTTCTGCCTTCTAAGCCAAAGGAATTTCTGCAGAATCTGCAATAAGATTTGCAGGAGAATAGCATGAGCCCATAAA